CAGGGAAGGCCTCCAGGAGGAAGTAGCACCTCACTTGGTCTTGAAAAGAAAATAAAAGGTAACTAGATAAGAAATGAGGGAAGAGCATTCCAGGTAGAACAGCGTGTTCAAAGGCACGAAGTTTTAAGAGAGTACTATACATTTGAGGGCCTGTAAATGGTACCTCAACATGGTTGAAATCCTGTAGGGCAAGAGATAAGACTGCAGATGTCAGCAGAAAGACCCTTGGGTCTCCAAGCTGAAGAGCCTCTCAGATTTCAGTAAGTCACTGAAGGGTCTTAATTGGAGGAATGAGTGTCAGATCTGTGTTTCTGAGAGTTCTCTGCCAGACACTAGGGAGCATAGCTCAGAGGGTATGAGGCTGATGGCTGAGAGACCACATATGGGGGCTGTTCCAGTGGTCCAAAGAACATACAAAAGGCTGTGGCAGGGGCAGAGAGGGCAGGGCACAAAGGCAGGAAATGCTTGGTGAATCTCTGCAGTGTTCCTTTTTCACTGTACAACAATGAGGAGCAGAGAGATGAGGTATTTGGAAGACAGAATCCATTAGACATGGAGACCAGTCCCTGAGGGTGAGGATACAGAAGACCTCTTCCCCACTGCATCCCCTCTGGCCTGGCTACAGCACCCTGCCCACTGCCCCCACCCCCCAACACCATGTTTCTTCTTGCCTCTGTGCAACTAGGCTTGGGAGGTCCAGTAGGCAGAGGCAATCACCTTCATGACTACTCAGAACCAACACACTGACACAAACCAGAGGCGGCTTGACTTCTATATGGTGGGGGCATAACTTGCCCCTGACACCCCTTGGGCAGAATGCCCCCTAGTAAGGCGTCAGGTGCTGGGGAAACTGACTTTATTTTTTTTTGTTTTTTTTTTTGTTTTTTTTTGGGGGGGGGTTTTTTTTTTTTTTTTTTTTTTTTTGGAAACTGACTTTAATATGCACTCAGAACAACGGGAACTGGCTGCTCTTGGGTTTCATGTAGGGGCTAGCAAAACCTAGGGCAGTGTCATCATGCAGAAGTTACCAACTTGGGATGCCTGGGTGATTCAGTGGTTGAGCATCTCCCTTTGGCTCAGGTCGTGATCTGGGATCCTGGGGTCGAGTCTTGTGTCAGGCTCCTCACATGTCTCTGCCTCTCTCTGAGCCTCTCAAAAATAAATGAATGAATAAAATATTTTTTTAAAAAAGAAGTTACCAGCTTGGAAGTCAGACAGATCTGAGTTCCGAGCCCGACCCTGCCACAGTCCCTAGATCTGCAACCTTGAACAGGTTTCTTAACTCCTCTGAGCCTGTTTCTTCAGCTCTAAAATGGCAATGGTGATTCTCTACAAATAAGACTGCTGTGAAAACAGGGGTTCCTGGTTGGCTCAGGCAGTAGGGCATGCGACACTTGATCTTGGGGTTGTGAGTTCAAGCACCACGTTGAGGGTAGGTATTACTTAAAAATAAAACCTTAAGGGGCATCCTGGGTTCCTGGGATTGAGCCCTGCATTGGGCTCCCTGCTCTCTCGCTTTCACTCTCTCAAATAAATGTATTAAAAAATCTTAAAAACACAATCTTTTTTTTTAAAGTTTTCTTGGCTAGTTTATTTTTTTTAATTTTTATTTATTTTATAATAGTCACAGAGGGAGAGAGAGAGAGAGAGAGAGAGAGGCGCAGAGACATAGGCAGAGGGAGAAGCAGGCTCCATGCACCGGGAGCCCGATGTGGGATTCGATCCTGGGTCTCCAGGATCGCGCCCTGGGCCAAAGGTAGGCGCCAAACCGCTGCGCCACCCAGGGATCCCATTAAAAACAGAATCTTAAAACGAAACACTGTTGTTAATACTCAAAGAGATAATGGGAAAGCACGTGGCTCATGCTACATATGCCACTTGTTTTTTTTAAAGATTTTACTTATTTATTCATGAAAGACACACACACACACACACACACACACAGAGGCAGAGACATAGGCAGAGGGAGAAGCAGGCCCCATGCCGGGAGCCCAATGTGGGACTCGATCCCAGGACTCCAGGATCATGACCTGAGCCAAAGGCAGACGCTCAACTGCTGAGCCACCCAGGCATCCTGCTACATATGCCACTTGTGTTGGTTGTTCTCCACTGTCTCAAATGAACACTGCCTCAGAGAAAAATCCACCTCACTAGATACTGGAATATTAATGTTCTCCAGAAACTGAAGCTCTTGCTTAGACAATGCTGGATAAACATAGATGGATTCCTCTTCTCTGAAGCCTTATTTATTTATTTATTTATTTATTTATTTATTTATAGAGTGCGAGCGTGAGGTAGGGGGGTGAGGGGCAAAAAGAGACGGAGAATCCTAAGCAGGCTCCATCCCCAGCACAGAACCTATCTCTGGGCTTGATTGCATGACCCTGAGATCATGTCCTGACCCAAAATCCAGAATTGGATGCTTAACCAACCAACTGACCCCCCCAGGTGCCCCTGAAGCCCTTTTTCAGCAATCAGTTGTTCAAAGCTTCATTATCTCATGCCAGACATGTTACAATGGCATGAAAAGGGTTAGAAAAGTGTTTGGCCACCGACTGTGCTCAGGAGACACAACCATCCCGTTGGCGATATACCTGCTTCCATTGGCCAGGATGGGTGGCTACTTCTGCAGGAGGCTGACCTCATCCACCATGTACTGATTTTTCTCGCTTTCAGTTTCCAAAGGTGACTTTTTTCTACTCTTGTCCCCAAAAGCTGAGGGCCCAGAGCTCCCCATGGATTGATCACCCCTGAATGGGATCAAAGAGATCCTGTACTCTGTTGCTTCAAGCTCCCCTGTCAGAATAAGCTCTGGGATCTCAGATGGAAAAGAAACTGCAGCCCTTTGGTTGTGGGGCAGGTAGGGCAGGACAGTGAGTCTCGGTCAAGGTTTGTGAGGGCTGCCAGCTTCCCTTCCTAATTTTCCTCATTTAAGAAATACATGGAAGAATCAGTCTGAGGAGATAATGAACAGAAAATACAACTGGCAGCCACTCCTGGCTCTGACTCACTATGCACACTCCCATAGTTGTTACCATGGTTTCAAGGATGAAGTTCTCTTCCCTCTGCCCCCCCCCCCCCCGCCCGCTCTTATGTTCGTTTGTCATTCTGCTCCACAGACTCCTTCACAGTCGGCCTCCACAGACTGGTGCAGACTTAACCCTGTAGAGGAGCTAGCTTTTTTTGGTGTTTGTTTTACAAATAACGTTTACTGCTCTTTTTTCTTGAATAAAATAAAAATACATGCCAATTGATAGAAACAGAATATAATATAAATAGAAAAAAATGAAAGGTAGGCACAAACTCACATTCCAGAATGAACACTTAAGAATTTTTTTCAGACTTATTTTAGAGAGAGAGTGCGCAAGAGTGGGGGAAGTAGAGGACCAGAGGGAAAAGGAGAAACACAGACACCACGTTGAGCATAGAGCCCAATGTGGGGCTCAATACCACTCCCCTGAGATCACCACCTGAGCCAAAACCAGGAGTCAGACGCTTAACTGACTGTGCCACCCCAAGCACCCGAAGAATTTTTTCAAAGACTTAATTTTTAAAGTAATCTCTGTACCTAGCTTGGGGCTCAAACCCACAATGCTGAGATCAGTAGTTGCATTCTGCACTGAGCCAGCCAGCCACCCCTAACACTTAAGATTTCATCATCTTTCCTTCCCCATCTTTTCATGATGCATACTGCATAGTTGAGATTGTACATGATTTTGAATCTGTCTTATAGTGCTTTTGACCTTGAAACCCCCCAGCAGACCTATGCCCATCCTCTTCTCCTTTGAGTTATTGGCCTCTAGGTACTGCTTGGGGTAAGTTCAGCCACTTACACAGGCTTGCTTGTTATTGTTGCTGTTATCTGCTGGAACACGTAGAGCTCTCACAATGTTCCAGGCACTAAGTATTTGTCAGGTGCGTCTGCCATTTAATGCTGGCAGACGGACAGACATTAGGCCTGCTTCCAATTTTTCTCCATGACAGAGTTCTGCCAAGAGGCAGAGGGGTGATAACCTTTTTGTTGGGGCCAGGCGGGAAGAGAAACTCCTCAAGATGGCGGATACCCCAAATGGCTGAGGTTCCTGTCACCACCTCCACCTGGGACGCCAATGGACCAATGACCTGCTGACAGCTTGACGCAGACCCTTAGACCTCTCCTTTGGACTTACCCAACCGGACCCAATGCCCTTCAAACCCCAGAGGAGGAAGTCACCTTTGACTGACCGAATTGCAATCCTTCCTTTGCATAGTGAGGGTCACTCTGACTGGTTGGATTGCAATCCTTCCTTTGCATATGAGCCGACCAATAGGAAACCGTTCTGCCTTACAACGTTATGTAAACCCCCTGCCACCTTGTCTTGGCGCGACTTCCCCGACTCACTCTTCCCCTCCGTGAGTCGTGGAACCTCGCCCGAGGGTGCCTGCAATAAAATCTGTTCTTGGACCCTCGCTTGCCTTGGCGGTCTCATTTCCATTTAGTTACCAAAAAACCTAACACTTTTTAAATAAAACTACCCTTTAAATCCCATCAGCTACAAATGCAGAATAAAATTTAAAAGTGAAAAACCGCAAGGGAGGGCAGGCCTATGTGTAGGAGGGAGCGGGAGGAGAAAGCTGCCACCGCGGCTTTTTCTTCTTTCCCTTTATCTGGAGGCCCCGCGGGATTGGCTAGAGCTGGCGCTAAGGGACTGCAGAGGCTTGCGCCTTCCACTACGGACGCCTGAAGGAGACCCGCCGGGATGTGGGGGAGAATGAGAACTGGCGCTAACGAGAGTCTGTGACCAAAGAAACAAAAAACGCAAAGGCGCAGTTTCCCGCCCCTGCTCTACCTTTGGTTCCACCACCACCCCCACAACCGACCCAAACTTCCTATTGGTCAGCCAGCTTTATCCCATTGTTGCGAGGGCCCAAGGACCCGGTCTGTCCTAGATTATGCCTGCTTCCAGGGCCGCAACGAAGACGGTCAGTTTTGTTGCCGTTTTCAGGCGTTTGTTCCGGACATGCCCGTGGGGCCTGAAGGGACTTTGTGCGGCGAAGGAAGCCATTGAGGGTTCGGTCGCAGTTTTCGGAGATGCCGCCCAAGGGAAAGAGCGGTTCCAGGAAAGGGGGGAAAGGTAGAGCGGCCAGAACGGCCAGGGAGAATGGGGTCCGGTGAGGAGCGAGGGGAGGGAGCAGAGCGGCGATTCCCGGGGGCAGCGGATGGCCAGTGACTAGAGGACTGACCGGGGAAGTGAGAAGTTGGGAGACAATCAGTGCGGACTTCTCTGTAAAGCCTTAATTGAAAAAGCATGGAAATGAGATGGTAACTAGAAGAAGACAGGACGAAGAGAAAGTTCTGTTTGTTACTTAAGAATGGGGAAAACTTAAGAGTGAGGCTGATGTGAAGAATCCAGTAGAGTTAGAGGGAAGTAAAGGTCCAGAGGAGTGAGGTTTGAGAAAACGGGGTCCAGGACCGAGGTGGAGAAGTTGACCTTTGAATAGGAGAAGGGGCACATTATGTTTTTTAAGATTTATTTTATTCATGAGAGACAGAGAGAGAGAAGCACAGACGTAGGCAGAGGGAGAAGCAGGCTCCATGCAGGAAGCCCAATGCGGGACTCGATCCCAGGTCTCCAGGATCAGACCCCGAGCCGAAGGCAGACGCTCAACCGCTGAGCCACCCAAGCGTCCCAAGAAGGGATACATTATGCTTGCGGCCATAGGAAAAGGAACGAGGGTGGGTGTGGTTGTAAAAATTGGGGCCAGACTGGGAGCTGGAGTTTATAGGATATCATGATTAATGGCCTCAAATTCTTATGAAAGTGGAAGGGGCAGGGACTGAGTGTGGGTCTTGAGTGATAAAGGTTTGGAATAGCCATTGAGGGTGATGGGAAAGGGAACAAAACACTAATAAAAGGATCAGCCCTCAAGGCTGAGAACCTAGGATTGAAGTCCATGCATTTGTAGAGGACACAGTCCACACAGTCATGATTTACCTGGTAACTTGCAACTGGCGCAATATAGGATTGGAAAGACCTAGGTGTCGCCTTGAGCCAAGGTTGGTTTGTTGGACAATGATAATAGAATAGCAAGACAAAGTAGTTAAGGGTGCCACTGGGAACACAGATGATCAAGCAAGGGGTCCAGACTCCGAAGGGAAGGAGAAATTTGTTAGTCTAGGGGAACATAGCAGGATAAAGGTATGGAAGTGGGGAGTGGTTTCTGTGAAGCCAAAGAGCCAGTGTTGTGGGAGTGAGGCATGATAAGGCTGGAAAAACGTGAAGTTGTAGCCAGAGACTGAACTGTTCTCAACATGGTTCCATCGTGTGCCCTTGGGAACAGTGGCCCCACGTAGAAGGCATCAACATTCAGGAGGGAGGTCCAGAAGTGTGAAGTTAGGTCACTAGATGGTTCCTCAGCATAGGTGGCAAGGTCATCCAAGATGATGGCGAGAGTGAGGGCAGAAACGAATCCTGAAACTGCCAGCATCCTCAGTCAGTCAAAGGGAGTGAGGAGACAGTCAGAAGATAGCCAGCAGATGATGGGATAACTGGAAGGCATCATCATTTGAGAGTGAATATACAGCAAACCCACTTAAGAGTTTGGTGGGATAAAATTCCTTTGGCAGTAACATTGTCTTAGGCATTTGGTGGTCAGGTATTTTGGGTTTTCAGTGTGCCAGGTACTGTGCGAGGCATTAGAGATACTAAGACAAGTAACATGGAGTCTCTTGATTAAAACTTTTCAGTTGCTCCCTTTTCTAAGGATAAATTCCAGGTTCCTTAGTCGGACTCATAGGACCTTATGTCCTAACTCTCAGCCACCTCCCCTGGGCTTATCTCACAACACTCCCACCTCAGATTTGGCTTCATCCATAGTTTCCGACACACACCACATTGTTCTACCACCCTGGAGTGGCTCCTCATCCCTGTCCTTTCTTCACTTGGTCAGTTTCTGCTCATCCAGGAAATCTTCCCTGACTGGCTAAAATGGCCCTCTGTGCTTCCACAGCCTTCTGTCCATAGATCATAGGTCATTCTGAAATGATCTGTTTACATGTCTCTCTGCTCCAGTAGTGTATGGTTTCCATGAAGGAAGGTACCATTGCTTGTTCATCTTTATATCTCCAGTGTCTGGAACTTAGTAGTTATTTAGGAAATGTTCACTGAACTTAACATTTAACCCAGCCATAGTTCTTACCAACATCCACCTCTAACAGTAAGTATGTGGCCATGAACACAGAAGTTAACACAGTGGTAAGATGACATCATAGTAAAATCTAAGATGCTGCCTGTGGTTGTTACTCTGAATATCAACAACTTTTCTCAGGAAGGTATCAGTAGGCAATGTCATAGACTCCAGGAATTTGGACATGAAGATAGTATATTTAGCCAAATATGGCTGGTGGAAAATTAGATTTTTATTTAAAATATATATGGCCATTAGAAACGACAAATACCCACCATTTGCTTCAACGTGGATGGAATTGGAGGGTATTATGCTGAGTGAAGTAAGTCAATCGGAGAAGGACAAAAATTTTATGTTCTCATTCATTTGGGGAATATAAATAATAATGGAAGGGAATAGAAGGGAAGGGAGAAGAAATGTGTGGGAAATATCAGAAAGGGAGACTCCTAACTCTGGGAAACGAACTAGGGGTGGTGGAAGGGGAGGAGGGTGGGGGGTGGGGGTGAATGGGTGACTGGCACTGAGGGGGGCACTTGACGGGATGAGCACTGGGTGTTATTCTGTATGCTGGCAAATTGAACACCAATAAAAAATAAATTTATTTTAAAAAATAATAAAATATATATGGAGATTTGACTTACTGGAATTGTGAGTACTCAAATACATAGTTGCAGTGCTTATTAGACATCTTGCAAGAGTTCAAGGATTTGCCCTTTGAAGGCAGGATTTCAAATTAGGTCCAGAAAGTCTGGACCAGGCTTTTGGCGCTCCATCTATCAGCACACTCACTCGTATATCCATTTTCCACAAAGGGTTTATGTAGGACACAAATTTCTTGCTTTATGGGAGGTGAGTCACAGATTAATTTAGCCTCTTGTAGTAAAGTGGCCGAGTGCCCTTTGGAAGTGTGGTGCTAGGACAGAAATATCAACTCTTATTTTATTGGACCTTTCTGTAAATATCAGGATGCATTATAAACGAGTACCTGTGATCTCTTCTCTAAAGGGGGAGCCGCCTCCGGGAGTGACAGTTCTGACAAGAAGGCCCAGGGTCCCAAAGGTGGTGGTAATACAATAAAGGTGAGTTACTCATTAATTTCCTTTCACATTAAATTTAAATTACTTCTATACATCTCTTATTTTGGTACCCAGGAAAGGAAGATGGTATGCTTAACTCATTCTAAGGAAGGAATGTAATGGTTAACTCATTTTAAGAGGCTAGCCTAATGCTGATATAAAATCAAGATAACATAAAATTGGAAGGTAGCGACCAGTCTCACTTATAAACGGTAATTCCTTTTAAGGATTTCCTTAAATGCTTTCTCAAACATTCCAAATTTCTTAATCCTTCCTGTTGTGTTCTGAAATGTATTAAGTGTACATTTCAAGAAATAATACAAAGTATGAAGAAAATAAACAAATGAACTATTTCTCAGAAGGAAAAAATATTTTATAAAACCAAGGGCTTAGATAAACAGGCAAAGGTACCAACCAGTCCCATCAGGTAGCTACCCACTAGTAAACTACAAGCCAGGGTCCTGACTGTTAAAACTGGGGTGGGAGACAAATCAGATAATTACTTGGAACTACTTGACCTAGCCCCAGGGGAGTGTCTGCCCTGGGAAAATACAGTCTGAACTTAGTGCTATGTAACAAGCAATTTCCATGTTCTGGTCAGGGTGTGGGATTCCATACTTTGATTCATTTGTTCAGTATGGATTTAGTGACCTCTGCCCTGCAGCAAGGAGTGTACTAAGTTCTGGGTTTAAAAAAAACAAACAAACAAAAAAAAAAAAAACAAAAAAATAAAAAATAAAAAAAAAAAACAGGAAGTAAGAGGTGGATTTTATTATCCTACTGCAGTTGGAGCAGTTAGGCAAATAAATACATTGCTGCAGTAGTGTCCTATAAATCCAGCCACATGCAGCCAAAAAGAGAGAAAGAGAGAAATAATATAGTGTGAGCTGTTCTACCCACTCTTCTACTCAGTGAACCAGAGAAAGCGTGAGATGGGAGACATGAATCTGCTTTTCCACAGTTGACCTCTGTTCTCATATAAGCATCCAGTTATGTGAAGTGGGACTCTGGCATCCAAACATAATGTTTTCATGAAACATAGTTCCAAATACAAACCAAGTACTTCATCTGGTGTTCAGCAGAAGAAGTGGTCATTGTTGCTACAGGCCTGAGAGACAGGCTATGTTGGGTTTAATGAGGGCTGACGTGTTGGGTCTCTGGTACGGCATTTTCATAAGGGATGTTATAGGGTAATTTTGGCCACATGCAGTTTTCCCCCTACGTTCTGACTTGTACAAGCACCCAGCCTAAGAGACTGCTCCACTGCATGTGAATTTGAAGAGGCACCTCGCCTTTTCTGGAAAAAAGTAAGTTCAGTGTGGCTGTGCGTGAGGTATGTGGAAAGAAGTGGCACATAATCAGGTAGGAAAGTTGATTAGAACCAAATTTTCCTAAGATAATTTTAGACTCCCATTCAGTTGTAAAAAAATAATACATTTACCTTTTACCCTGCTTTCCCTGATGGTAACATCTTACATCAAACTTACATCAAACTCCAGTAGGATAGCACAACCAGGAGATGGACATTGATACAGTGAAGATACAGAAGATTCCCATCACCCCAAGGATCTTGTCTTGTTGCTGTTTTATAGCCATGCTCACTTCCCTCCCCTACCTTCTCTATCCTTAGCCCCTGGCAACTGTTCTCCATTTCTGTAATTTTATCACTGCAAGAATGTTACATGAATAAAATGATGCAATATGTAACCTGGCTTTTCCCACTCTCAGCATAATTCTCTGGAGCTTTCATTCAAGTTACTCCACTTATCAATAGTCTGTTCCTTTATGTTGCTGAGTAATGTGCACTGAACGGATGTGCCATATGTTTAACTGTTCACCTGCTAGAGGACATCTGGATTGTTTCCAGTGGTTTGTAAAGGTCCCAGCAGGGAGAAGACCCTGGAACCCTCTGGCCTTTCAGGGCTATGCTCCTTCCATATCCTGCTTTCAGCCCCACTCCTGAGCCCACACCCTGCCCTGTGTCTCTAGAGCAGTCCAGATTCTGAACTCCATCTGCCGACCATAGCTTCCCTCCTGCCTCCCGATTGTTTTTCTGGTCTTCTTTGCACACAGACCTCAAGCCCTCGAGCTGTTCTCCCTGTTCTCCCCACCTGTTCTCCCCACCTTCTCCCAGGCTTCATATCTGTTGTCCAAGCCCTGTATGACCTATAAACTGGAAAGTAGATCAAAGAGCTTGACCACTGGATCTGGGAGTCCTAGCTCTTTCCTTTTGGTCATTTGCTGCATCCACCTCCCGGTCTCCAACTTGGGATCAATCCTGTCGTCTACTACTTTTACATTTACACCCAGAAGTGCTGGGCCTTGCTGGAGAGTCACATGGCCTTGCGAATTGGGACCACTGATTCCTGGTCTCTGACCTAAGCCAGGCCCTCAGTACTGCTCAGCAGTCCTTTACCGCTCACCTTCAGCTGTCAGCCACCCTGCTTCATCAGGCAGCTGACAACTTCATCCAGTGGTTCTCAACCCTGATGTACTTCAGATTCCCCTAGACAGCTTCTAAAACTACTGGGGCCCAGGGTCCCACCCCAGACCAGCTGCCTCAGAATCTCCGGGGGGTGGGCCCTGGACCTTGATGGATTTTATAGCAGTGCTGAGGATGATTCTGATGTGCTGCTGGGGTTGAGAAACACTGATCCAGTCTCACAAGGCTGGTGTGAGGATTTCATGCAAGAATGCGTGCAAAGTGCTTAGCCTGGTGCCTAGCAAATACTAACTTTTAAATATTGTTAAATTTTCACATGAAAATGGAAACCAGACCTATAAGCAGTAACTCATTGGCGTTCCAGCCCCCCTCCCAAAAAAGTTCTCTTTATCCACACCTCCCCTCTCTGTCTTCTCAGTGTTCCTCCTCTAAGGCTCACAGATATTTCAAGCAGTGCGCCGAATGCCATGCCTTGCTCCTTCATCTTCTGTACCCTCTTTGGTTGCTGTCTTCAGCCTTTCTTTCCTGACTGCATCTTTCCCTTCATTCTGAGATTATGCCCAGGGACCTTTAAAATAGACACGTGCTTGTGACCTTTTTCTTCTAATAAGAGCTCTGTCTCCTTTTCTGACTCATCTGGGGGAGTACCCCACATGCCTTCCCTTCCCACCCCCCATTACTTCCTTGAGCTGCCTGCCACAGCCTGGCTTCTGCTCTTTCTGCTTTTGCTAAGGTCATTGATGTCTCAGTACTAAATTGATTGTACTTCTTACCTGGTCACTCTGCAGCATTTAAGCCTGTTGACCATTTCCTCCCTGAAACTGTCTCTTGCCTTGGTTTCCCTGAACACGCCTTTCTGTCCTACCTATTTGGCCTTCGTACTACGCGTATAGAGCGTCTTTCTTTGCTGTGCCCTAAATGTCAATATTCTCCAAGCATGTGTTTAGCCTTTGTTTCTCCTCTTCTTGTTCTATGTAGCCTCCCTGGGTAATCTCCTCCCTCCCGCAGTGGAGGATTGATCCCGCGCTACCTCCATGCTAATCACTCCCAAATCCTCTGTGGGTCAGCTCTTTTCTAAGATGGGAGTCTACATGGTTGCCAGTCAGTCTGTCACATTGCAGAGGCCACAGATACTACAGACACATCATGTCTAACCTGTCAGGCTGTCCAGACCAGAATACTTGTTTATTCATTGATAAAATGTTAGATGGTATCCTCTTTCCTTTATCATGAGTGTTTCATTCATGTCCCAGTAATCAAACCAACCAGAAGTATGGAATCATAAAGAGGGAGGCATTCTCAAAGTTATTTTAGCTAGGCCAAGTTGAGGTCTGATGAACCATCCTTGTTTCCCAACATGTATCTCTCTAGTGTCCAGACTGTTTGTCCCTGTCTTTCTTGGACAGTTGCTGGACACATTCTCTAGAAGTTTGCCTCTCAGAGCCCTGCCTTTTGACAGATCATTTCCTTTGTTATGTTCCTATCTCCTGTGTAGCTTCTCCAGACAGGAAGTTATTCCTGTGGGTCTAGAATCCCCTTGCCCTCAATTCCAGTAGTTGAACTCTGAGGCCAGGCTTGATTTGCTTGCCTCTACATTCATAAGGGAGACACCGTTAACTCCCATTCCAGAGTATGATGTACAATATGAAACTATGGATTGAGTTTGAATGAGAAATTGGAAATCATGTAGAACAGCTACCTTGACAAAATCATTTTTAAAGGTAGAGTGATTTGTGTTTTTAAAAAACATGGCTTTATATAAACATAAGTCAAACTTGAATACTTCCATAGGGTTGAATATACTTAACATAAGATACTTTTTCAAAGTGCCAAATTCTGAGGAGCTTTATACATTGGGCCTCTTTTGGTAAAGTATTTCCTCATGGGTTTTTTTAATATCATCCCTACTCTGATGGAAGTAATGGCTAACCTTTATTGAGTATTAACATCGTTATCTCAGTCTTCACAACCCTACGAGAACGCATAGTTACTGTTATTATCTCAGGGCACAAATGGGGAAACAGAGGTTTAAGAAAATGCCTCCAATCACACAGCAGTGTTGGGATTTGACTCAAGGGCCCCAGCTTTCAACCATTATGTCTCCTCTTCCTGTTACCATTTAAGTACATGGTAAAGATGGGAGCTTCTCACAGCCCTGTGCCCATTGCTGTCTAAATCAGAGTTCCCAGATAGTGTCTTGACAGAGGAAATGGGTTTGTGGCCATCACCCAACGGAGCAGACTTCCAGGACTTTGTTGCTATGAACCTGATGTGTTTTCTCACTATGGAAGTAATCCAGACCTGACTGTTATACTGTAAGAAAGGGAACCATTTGCATGTCCCAAATACCATGTGAACATACTTTTTCCTTGTAGGTTAGACACATTCTGTGTGAAAAACATGGGAAAATCATGGAAGCCATGGAAAAGTTAAAGTCTGGAATGAGATTCAATGAAGTGGCCACACAGTATAGTGAAGATAAAGCCAGGCAAGGGGTATGGTGCTGTTATCATTTAAAATGATCTCTCCCTAAGGTGTCTGGGTGGCACAGTCCAGTTAAGCATCTGACTCTTGGTTTCAGCTCAGGTCATGATCCTGAGGTTGTGAAATCAAGCCCTGAGTTGGACTCTGTGCTCAGTGCAGAGTCTGCTTGAGATTCTCCCTCTGCCCCTCCAGCTCGTGCTCTCTCTCTCTCTAAAATAAATAAATCTTAAAAAAAAAGGAAAAAAAGTCTTTCTGCCATGGAGGACACACAGCAGTAGGGATTATTTCTGCATTCTGCCATTAATTTTAGCCTTATCTTGGTTTAAAGATCCTAAAAGCAGAAATGTCCAACTTGTGAACAGTTGAGTACAGGTCACCTGTGTCTAAAACTAGGCATTACCAAACTGGCACAGCTAACAGACAACCAGCAACATTGTGAGTGTTTATATGTTCAGTCCAGGGTTGGATCTCTTCTACCTGTTTGTCCTTGTCAAGCACGCTTCTTCACAGTCCAGATGAATAAACCTAGGAACCTTAGCATTTGTGTTGGGAAATTCTCAAGTTACAGTAGAACTGTTGCCTCTTCAGGGCCACCTGACATCACATATCTTTTGGGTTTTTCAGGGCGACTTGGGTTGGATGACCAGAGGTTCCATGGTGGGACCATTTCAAGAAGCAGCATTTGCCTTGCCTGTAAGTGGGCCAGATAAGCCTGTGTTTACCGACCCTCCAATTAGGACAAAATTTGGATATCATATTATTATGGTTGAAGGGAGAAAATAAAATGGTATGAAAGACTGAACATGTTTTATACATTCTATTTATTTCTTTAAAAGGTATTGAGTAATCCTTGTATTTTTATTTTTATTGTGGGTTTGTAGGCATAAAATGAGGTGGAGAAAGGTCATTATACGAAGGGGGAGGGGCAAGATGGCGGAAGAGCAGGGTCCCCAAATCACCTGTCCCCACCAAGTTACCTAGATAACCTTTAAACCATCCTGAAAATCTACGAATTCAGCCTGAGATGTAAAGAGAGACCAGCTGGAACGCTACAGTGAGAAGAGTCCGCGCTTCTATCAGGTAGGAAGACGGGGAAAGAGAAATAAAGAAACAAAAGGCCTCCGAGGGGGAGGGGCCCCACGAGGAGCCGGGCTGAGCCCGGGGCGAGTGTCCCCAGGACAGGAGAGCCCCGTCCCGGAGGAGCAGGAGCTGCACCAACCTTCCCGGGCGGGCGGAAAGGGGCTCGCAGGGAGTTGGAGCAGGACCCAGGAGAGCGGGGATGCCCTCAGGCTCCCGGGGACACTGACAGACACCTGAGCGCAGGAGAGTGCTCCGAGCTCCCTAAGGGCTGCAGCGCGCACGGAGGGACCAACCGGAGCAGCTCGGAGGGGCTCGGGCGGCGGCTCCGCGGAGGGGGCTGCGGGGCGGGAGCGCGAATCCCACAGCGCAGGCCCCGGAGCACAGGGCGCCGGGACACAGCCCAGGATCCGGCCTCCCCCGGGACAGGCAGAGGCCGGGAGGGCCCAGGACAGCAAGGACGCTCCTGCCCCGAGCTGAGCACATCAGCGGCCCCGCCCCGGAGCCTCCAGGCCCTGCGGACGGAGAGCCGAGAGCCCCGAGCCCCGTAGTTCCTTCGGAGGCTGAATCCAGGCTTCCAGAGTTGCCATAGCAACTGCTGCTGTTCCTCCCTGGGGTAAACAACCCCCGCTGAGCCCTGCAGCAGGCAGGGGCAGAGCAGCTCCCCCAAGTGCTAACACCTGAGAATCAGCACAGCAGGCCCCTCCCCCAGAAGACCAGCTGGACGGACCAGTGATACTCCCCCGTGTTCCAATACAACTTGTTTCTGGCCACTCTGCACTGAGCAAAATGACTAGAAGGAAAACCTCACTTCAAAAGAAAGAATCAGAAACAGCCCTCTTTCCCACAGAGTTACAAAATCTGGATTACACTTCAATGTCAGAAAGCCAATTCAGAAGCACTATTCTACAGCTACTGGTGGCTCTAGAAAAAAGCATTAAGGCCTCACGAGACTTCATGACTGCAGAATTTAGATCCAATCAGGCAGAAATTAAAAATCAATTGAATGAGATGCAATCCAAACTAGAAGTCCTAACGACGAGGGTTAACGTGGTGGAAGAACGAGTGAGTGACATAGAAGACAAGTTGATGGCAAAGAGGGAAACTGAGGAAAAAAGAGACAGACAATTAAGGGACCATGAAGACAGATTAAGGCAAATAAATGACAGTCTGAGGAAGAAAAACCTACGTTTAATTGGGGTTCCCGAGGGCGCCGAAAGGGACAGAGGGCCAGAATATGTATTTGAACAAATCCTAGCTGAAAACTTTCCCAATCTGGGAAGGGAAACAGGCATTCAGATCCAGGAAATAGAGAGATCCCCCCCTAAAATCAATAAAAACCGTTCAACACCTCGACATCTAATAGTGAAGCTTGCAAATTCCAAAGATAAAGAGAAGATCCTTAAAGCAGCAAGAGACAAGAAGTTCCTGACTTTCATGGGGAGGAATATTAGGGTAACAGCAGACCTCTCCACAGAGACCTGGCAGGCCAGAAAGGGCTGGCAGGATATATTCAGGGTCCTAAATGAGAAGAACATGCAACCAAGAATACTTTATCCAGCAAGGCTCTCATTCAAAATGGAAGGAGAGATAAAGAGCTTCCAAGACAGGCAGGAACTGAAAGAATATGTGACCTCCAAACCAGCTCTGCAAGAAATTTTAAGGGGGACTCTTAAAACTCCCCTTTAAGAAGAAGTTCAAGTAACTCTGAACGTGAATGGGCTTAATGACCCCATCAAAAGGCGCAGAGTTTCAGACTGGATAAAAAAACAGGACCCATCTATTTGCTGTCTACAAGAGACTCATTTTAGACAGAAGGACACCTACAACCTGAAAATAAAAGGTTGGAGAACCATTTACCATTCAAATGGTTCTCAAAATATACCCTAAAAACTACAGAACACTTCTGAAAGAAATTGAGGAAGACACAAAGAGATGGAAAAATATTCCATGCTCATGGATTGGCAGAATTAATATTGTGAAAATGTCAATGTTACCCAGGGCAATTTACACGTATAATGCAATCCCTATCAAAATACCATGGACTTTCTTCAGAGAGTTGGAACAAATTATTTTAAGATTTGTGTGGAATCAGGAAAGATCCCAAACAGCCAGGGGAATTTTAAAAAAAGAAAACCATATCTGGGGGCATCACAATGCCAGATTTCAGGTTGTACTACAAAGCTGTGTTCATCAAGACAGTGTGGTACTGGCACAAAAACAGACATATAGATCAATGGAACAGAACAGAGAACCCAGAAGTGGACCCTGAACTTTATGCTCAACTAATATACAATAAAGGAGGAAAGACGATCCACTAGAAGAAGACAGTCTCTTCAATAAATGGTGCTGGGAAAATTGGACATCCACATGCAGAAGAATGAAACTGGACCACTCTCATGCACCATACACAAAGATAAACTCAAAATGGATGAAAGATCTAAATGTGAGACAAGATTCCATCAAAATCCCAGAGGAGAACTCAGGCAACACCCTTTTTGAACTTGGCCACAGTAACCGGAGAAGGACAAACAGTGTATGTTCTCATTCATTTGGGGAATATGAATAATAGCGAAAGGGAATATAAGGGAAGGGAGAAGAAATGTGTGAGAAATATCAGAAAGGGAGACAGAACATAAAGACTTCTAACTCTGGGAAATGAACTAGGGGTGGTGGAGGGGGAGGAGGGTGGGGGGTGAATGGGTGACGGGCACTGAGGGGTACACTTGACGGGATGAGCACTGGGTGTTATTCTGTATGTTGGTAAATTGAACACCAATAAAAATTAATTTATAAAAAAAAAAAAAAAAAGAAAGAAAGGTCATTATACACTGTAGTAGTTGTTCTCAAAGGTAAGTCAAGCGGGGTCACCTGGCTGGCTCAGTCAGTAGAGCATGTGACACCTGATCTCAGGGTTGTGAGTTCGAGGCCCACATTGGGTAAAGTTTCCTTTATAATTTTTTTAAAGATTTAAAAAAAAGATAAGCAGACTCCTTTTAACCTGTAGTCTCTTCCCTCCCAGAACTACTAAGTCTCAGTATATCCCATAAGTTAATTCAAAAACCATCTCTGGGGGAGCCAAATACCTAGTTCACACTATTCACACATTGAATTGGATAAAAAATAGATGGAATAGTATATGAAAAATCATAAAATAAGTTCCTAGGCAGCACTTGTTTTATAAGTTAGCCAACTTGGATCTGCCAGGAGAGTTATTAGCTCCATTGTCTTTTTTTTAAAGATTTTATTTATTCTTAAGAGACACAGAGAGAGATAGGCAGAGACATAGATAGAGGGAGAAGCAGGCTCCCTATGGGGAGCCCGATACAGGACTCAATCCCAAGGACTCTGGGATCATGCCTTCAGCTGAAGGTGGACACTCAACTACTGAGCAACCCAGGTGTCCCGCTCCATTGTCTTAATACTATACACTGTACATAATGGCCATTCAACCTGAACCTTTTTTCAAAATTCAATTTAGTTAACATACAGTGTATTATTAGTTTCAGGGGTAGAATTTAGTGACTTATCAGTTGCATAGAACACCCAGTGCTCACTCCCATCAAGGGCCCTCCCTAATGCCCATCATCCAGTTATCCCATCTCCTCACCTACCTCCCCTCCAGCAACTATTTCCTACAGTTAAGAGTCTCTTATAGTTTGCCTTCCTCTATTTTTATCCTATTTTACTTTTCCTTCCCTTCCCCTATGTTCATCTGTTTTGTTTCTTAAGATCCACATGAGTGAAATCATTATGAACTCTTCTTTTTAAATAAACCTTTCTTGGAGGAAAAGAAGGCACTCAGTTCTACCAGTTGTTTGTACTAGACTAAGCAGCCAATGTTCTGTGTGTCTGCATTTTTAAATTTCATAATGCCATATTTATGACATAAAAAAGTATAAGGAATATTATAAATACTATATTGCTTCAAAAATAAAACTTTGCCAGGGGTGCCTGGGTGGCTCAGTCGGTTAAATGTCTGGCTCTTCATCTCAGCTCAGGTCTTGATCTCAGGATCCTGAGTTCAAGCCCCACATTGGGTTCTACGATACACATGGAGCCTACTTTAAAATTTTTTTCTAAAATAAAACTTGGCCAATACAACCATGTGATTCATAACGGTGATTCTTTTAGCACACTGTGTTCTCACTCAGCTGCATTTGACATATAAGTTTCTTATTTTGGGGTTTCTGGGCATCTCCAGCAGTTATGCCTCCATGAGATTTTACCCACTGAGCAGACTAAACAGATGCCACAGTCCCTGAGTACAGATATACCAGTATGGTATTGAGAGATGTTCAAAATAGCAGGCATATAAGATGAAACTGTTTTTTAAAACCCCGTTCAAAACAGTGTCTCTAAATAAGGGCTGTAAATCTGAAAATCTTGAAGAAAATTCTGAAAAGCTTTAGATGCATGAGACACGACCTAGTTAGCATCCTTTGCTCAGGACATTGGCTTACCCAGGATACCAAGTGAATGCCTTTTGCACGGGTGTCACCCACAAAAGAAGCCGGAGTGCTGGAAAGGTAGAGTAGAAAAAGCAAACTAATTTGTGGCATGGAGAGAGAGAGCAGCTATAGATAGCTTGTGAGAAAGTAGAGCAGGAATGGGTCTCTGACACCAAGCAAACCTTTGGGAAGTTAATTTTGAACTGGCAACTAAGGTTCTAAAGGAGTTGATAAATGAAAAAATTAGGGAATTATACATAGTACAGCTCATGAATTTAATCCTGCTTTGAAAATGCATCTTTGGGGATCCCTGGGTGGCTCAGCAGTGTAGCGCCTGCCTTCAGCCCAGGGTGTGATCCTGGAGTCCTGGGACCGGGTCCCACATTGGGCTCCCTGCATGGAGCCTGCTTCTCCCTCTGCCTGTGTCTCTGCCGCTCTCTCTCTGTGTCTCTCATGAATAAATAAAATCTTTAAAAAATGTATCTTTGTTTCATTAAGTTCAATGCTTAATGAACCAACTTCATTCAGATTAAAATAATTGAAAATTAAAACCAAAATGAGAACCTCCTTTTTACCTATCAGATTGGCATTTATGTGTTGTTGGCAAGGGCATGAGGAACAGGTATTCATTAATTGTGGAACTGTGTATTATTAGAACCTCTGGAGAACAACTTGGCAATACTTATAAAAATTATAAATATGCCCTTTGACCCCAAAACTCCATTTCTAAGAATTTATCCTGTAGATATAATGTGTATAAAAGGTACAAGGATATTCATCACCTTGTCTGCCAATAAATGACAGATGGTATACCCATTCAATAAAATACCATACAGCTGTGTTAAAATTAAAAACGATGGTACAGAACAGGGTATGTAGTATACTATCACTTGGGTAAAAACCTACATATACATATATACATACTTGTACTTCTACATCCATAGACCATCCTTGGGAGTGGCAATCCAGAACTGGGGGCAGAAGTAGGTAAGAGATTTTATCTCATACCCTTGGATCAGGGGTCTTAATCTGTTTTGTGCCATGGAGCCCTTAGGCAGTTTGCCTAAGCCAGTGGGTCCCTTCTCAGAAGGTTGCTTTCAAATGAATAAAATAAGAACACCTGGGTAGCTCAGTGATTGAGCATCTGCCTTTGGCTCAGTTCGTGGTCCCAGGGTCCTGGGATCCAGCCCCTCATTGGGCTCCCCACAAGGATTCTGCTTCTCCCTCTGCCTGTGTCTCGGCCCCTCTCTGTGTCTCTCATGAATGAATAAAATCTTAAAAAAACCAGTCAGGGCAGCCTGGGTGGCTCAGAGGTTTAGTACCACCTTTGGTCCAGGGTGTGATCCTGGAGACCTGGGATCAAGTCCCATGTCGGGCTCCCTGCATGGAGTCTGCTTCTCCCTCTGCCTGTGTCTCAGCGTCTCTCTCTCTCTCTTTCTCTCATGGATGAATGAATAAAATATTTTAAAAAAATAAAAACAAAACCCAAACAAATGAATAAAGTAAAATAGTATTACAAAGGATGCCAGTTATACTGAAACAGTAACCAAAACACAGTTGAAGGGATCCCTGGGTGGCTCAGTGGTTTAGTGCCTGCCTTCAGCCCAGGGCATGATCCTGGAGTCCTGGGATCAAGTCTGACGTCGGGCTCCCTGCATGGAACCTGTTTCTCCCTCTACCTGTGTCTCTGCCTCTCTCTCTCTCTCTCTCCCTCCCTCCCTCATGAGTAAATAAATAAAATCTTTAAAAAAAAACACAGTTGAGCCTTGAACAGATTTTGTACCGTGTGGGTCCACTTATACACAGACTTTTTTTTTTTTAGAAAGAGTATAGTACTAGAAATGTATTTTCCTTATGACTTCCTTTTTCTCTAGCTTACTTTATTGTAGGAATACAGTATATAATACATATTACATGAAAAATAGGCTAATCAGCTGTTTATGTTATCAGGTTTCTAGTCAACAGTAGGCCATTAGTTAATTTTTGAGGAGTCAAGTATTATGTAGATTTTTTACCGTGGGGAGGTTGGTACCCCCACCCCCACATTGTTCAAGGATTAACTGTAGTTTTTAAACTTTTATATACAACTTATATATTTAGATTATATTACATATTTTGAGTTCTGTGTGTTCTAGCAAATTACTGAATCTGAAGGTAGAGTCACGAGAATCCTCAATTTGTAGCCACGTTGGACAAAAGTATGGATAACATGGGGCCCAGTGCTAGCCACTGGCATCGGAAGTGAAGGCAGTGTTATGGGAGTAAGCCCTTAAACCTGTGGAGTCTGACCCTAATAACAGGTAATGTCAGGACAGAGTTGAACATAGGACACCCAGTAGATATCTGCCGAGAACTGGAGGGCTGTTTGGTATGGAAGACCTCCACAGGTCAGAAGGGTTGTCAGTAGAAATAGCCCAGTATATTCACTGCAGTGAAGACAATTTATTATAACAACTTTTCACTAGGTAACATATGGTTAAATCCATTTCACCCCCTACTGTGATCTCAGGTCACGGCCATATTAAGCCTTAGTTTCCTCAACTAAAACAATATAAGTGCGACCCTCAACCTCAAAGGATTATGGTAAGGATTAAACAAGAAGCCTGGTACACAGTAGGTATTCCATAAATGCTGGTTCCCTTTCTGAAGTGCAGAGTGTTGTACTGCACTTGGTTTCTGAGGGGCAACCAAACTCCTTTTCAGTCTACCACCCAAAGACACCATGTGCTAGCCTGTGTCAGAACACAGTTGGTGGTGAGTGAAGGATGGCTAAATTGTCGGCAGTGACTCCCAAAGTAGGGTACCAGTGATAAGCCTGGCCCCAGGCACCTGATAGCCCAGCCTTCTGCTGTAGTAAACTGAAGGCAGAAAATAGCATGTTAATAAGCAGATCTTCGATTTAGAATTTTTTTTTTAATCTACGATAGTCACACACAGAGAGAGAGGCAGAGACACAGGCAGAGGGAGAAGCAGGCTCCATGCACCGGAAGCCCAACGTGGGATTCGATCCCGGTTCTCCAGGATCGCACCCTGGGCCAAAGGCAGGCGCCAAACCGCTGCGCCACCCAGGGATCCCTTGATTTAGAATTCTAACAAGCTCCTGCTTAAACTAAGGAGCCTCTGTATCCATTTGCCAGCATCATCTCAGTGAATGGAAGAGAAAACACCTGAGAAAAGTAACTTTACAATTCTTGTCTGAACTGTGATAGACAGAAGTGATCATTTCCAGAATAAAATTGAGAATGGCCAGAATAACTTTATAAAAACTTTCCTGGAAGTAACACATTTCTATTAAATTTATAGAGTGTGCCTAAAAGAAAAATGTAAGACTATTCAAGGAAAGAAGTAAATTAACCTAGTGTTCAGGACACCAGAATGTACGTATGGAGGAGCAGGGATAGGAAGGAGTACAGAGTAAAGGCCAAATGGACAAAATAGTTAAAAACAAAAACTTGCTCTTTGAGATCTCTCTCACCTTAAGCCTAAATGCTTCATGCTCCCAGAGAACCCAGTTGTAAGAATGAATGAATTCATACTCAGTGTTTCACTTTAACAGTAAATAGGTTCTATTCTCAAGTTTTATTAAGTTGCTTATACAAATTTAAAGTCATGAGCATGACTTCAGGATCTGCACTTTTTATGTCAAGTGCTTTAACTAAGCAGTTTAAGGCCTCCTGTATTTTTCCACACTCTTTCAGTTCTTTTCCACGAATTACAAGAGCCTCATAGTCATTGACAGCCTCTACTGCCTCATCCTGGGGAGAATCATCCAACTGTCTGCCCAACAAAGGCTCAGGGTCACCAGGAGAGGCCTCTTGAGCTAAAGCCCCAGGCTCACGTGTAGTTAACCAGCTGGACTTATGTTCTGAAGGCAGCGTTTCGTCAGGAGGATCTTCGGTGTATTCTGAGACTTCCCCACTGCTTTCCTCGGCTCCTTCCTCCAGATAATCTTCAGCAACTTCTGCTTTGCTGCTGTTGTAAAGTCCTTCCTCCATATCCTCCACGTGGTCTAAAACCACATTAACAAGAGACCTCCTAGAAGCCAGGGATCTTCTAGCATTTACAGACTTATTTATACTGTCAGGTATTTTCAGTGCAAAGAACCTTCCTGGTGGACTGATGTCACTTTTGGGAGTTGAAGCATCAAACTGTTTTATAGGTAAGAACTGACAAGGCGAGGTGAATAGATTTGTGCCTGGAGTATCTTGAAAAGTTTTGTCTTCATTTTCACCATCTGAAAGGATCCTTCTGGCTTTCCTTCTGCCTTTCTTCACATTACCTATTACTACTTCTGGATCATCTTGGGTCTCAGAAAGATCCAAGCTGAGACGCACTTCACCCCGCTCAGACTCTGCTTTAGGATTAGCTGCAGGGCCACACAAGCTGTTTTCATTCTCAGCATGCTGCAAAGACTGACTGGAAAGATTTTGTCCATTCTCTGCAGAGTCTTCCAAGAATAGGTTGAAATCACATGCATACTGTGATGAGGACGCTAAAGGTTCCTCTTCCAACTTGGCCTCATCATGTACTTGAGCATTCCGTAGTGCACTGCGGGATGCTGACCATTCCTCATCAGCTATTTCAATTACAGATGCGTGTGATTCTGTATTTTGATTTTCATTTGTCATGGGATTAATGGGCCAGGGACTACAGTGAGGCAAAATCTCATCATCCTTTAGTTGATCTGGATTTGGCCCAAGATCATCTCTGACTGATTCACTAAGGAAATAATTAAAATTTCCCAGAGGGTTCTTTTGCAGTGTCCCCTGTGTAGGCCCCTCTCGCAGTGCTTCTTTTTGTATAGCCATTCCCGATGAGTTGGTCCAGATTTCATCTACACATCCACATCCCTTAGGTAAAATAGCTACAGAGTCAGCATCAGATGTACTTACAGGTGAGTGACTACCATCTTGCAAGACGGTAACATTCATCTTTATATTGGAGATACCTTGATTCTCATTCTCTTTGGGCAGATCATCAATGATTACACTTGCCATCTGGGAACTGATTACTTCTTCCTGGATATGGTAAGTAGGTAGATGTGATGAGGGCCAAGGCTGTGGTTTATTCATTTCAGGGCATTTCTTCTTTTTTTGAGAAGGAAACAGAGGTTCTCTCAGCCAGGTCCCCTCATTTCCAGTTCTTTGTTTTTCCACTAAGAGCTCTGTATTTTGAGACTCTAATTCAACAAGGAATTGAGCTTTCTGAACCCTTTGTTGAATATAATGAGATTCTTCGATCACGTCAAGCTCTTCTTTAACAGACAGATCCTGTGTGTACATCAAATCGTGGTCTGAGATTCCAGCTATCCCCAAAGAGTGCAAGTAGGCAATATGTTCATCTAGTATCTTATCAGATCTCCTCTGAGCAGCATGCAAAGACTGAAGCTGCAGCTGAGTTGCAGAGTTCTGAAAATCCTCAATTGTAAAGAGCTCTCTTAATTCTTGTTTAGTAAAATATCGGAAAGGGTTCTTCTTATCACCAGTAGTTTGTCTGATTAGTGAGTCCTTGAAAACCTGTCTTCTGTATATTTTCTCCTCTACGGTCCCACAAGTAATCAGCCTATAAACTACAATATTTTCCTTTTGTCCAATTCGGTAGACTCTATCCACAGCTTGAGCATCAGTTGCAGGATTCCAACTAGGGTCAAAAATGACCACTCTAGTTGCTGCAGTTAACGTTAAGCCAACACCACCTACTTGAGTGGTAAGCAGAAAAACAGAGTAATCTTTATTTTGCTGGAATAAGTTGATTCTTTTTTCTCGTTCCACAAGATGTGTAACTGTTCCATCAATTCGCAATATCTTAAAGTGCCGATTCTTTAAGAGGCGTTCAATGATGTTTAGAATTTGTCTCGATTGGGAAAACACCAGAGTTTGATGTCCTTCATCTCGCAGTCTCCTAAGCAGCTCTATTAGAAATATCATTTTTCCAGATTCTTCCATCAGTGTATCATCAGTTATGTGATCAATATGGTCCACATCTGAGGCATCCTCCCCTTCATTTTCACCTTGAACAGAGAATTTTACAGACCCTAAATTCAACAAATGACGAGCCCGTGCAGATAGCAGCCTTGGATGATCACACAGCTTCTTTAAGACACCTAGCTCAGCCAGAGGTGAGCGTGTCTCCATTAACAATTCCTTGATATGATCCAGGGACACGAATTTCCTGTATATTTCTTCTTGTAAAGGCATAAGACGTATCCAAATAATTAAATCATTTTTCCTGGAAAGGGAAGGCATTTTACAAATGGCATCACCATCTGGATTCTTTTCACTAAATCTGATCTCCTCTGGGGTACTTGACTTTTTTTGTACCTCTTCTTTAGTCCTCCTGAGAAAATGAGATTTTATGATTGCCATCAAGTTTTCAGATATTTTCAATCCCAAGGCTTTTTCCCCTGGGGTAGCATCCTTCTCTCTCGCTCTCATAATAGGATTTTCATACTCTATTTTAAAAGTTTTTAATGTTCCTAGCAGGGACCCTTGACAAGCAAAATCAAATAGGGACCACAGTTCTTGTAAATTATTCTGGATTGGGGTTCCTGTGAGGAGGATGCGATTCCTGGCAGGGACAGCACGAGCACATATTGCTGACTTAGTAGATGAGGTTTTTATTTTATGTGCTTCATCAAGGATGACGTAGTCCCACACAAACTCTTGGCCATTCAAGCTTGAAAGTTGCTGCCAATTATTGATTAACATTTGGTATGTGGTGATAATGACACCATTCCTTTGCTGAATCCGACTAAGGTTTCTGGTACGTTCATCCTTACTAGAACCGTGAAAGGTTTTGACTCTCATTCCTGGAGTCCACTTAACAAATTCTTTTATCCACGTGCTAATGAGATTGGTTGGCATGATCAGCAGCACATGACTCACAAGTGTAGCATCAAACATACCAGAAAGGAAAGCAATGATTTGAACAGTCTTCCCTAATCCCATATCATCTGCCAAGATGCCACCTTTTCTTCCATCCCTATATAGGCTATAGAGGAAAGCTACACCTTCCTTCTGGTGTTCAAATAGTTGGTTGTGCAGTTCTCGATAAAGCAGAAGGCCAGAGTTGCACACATCTGTGAATTCATCATCTCCATGTTCTGCCAACTCCTCCAAGGCTTCCTGTATTTTTTGGATTCTGCTCATCACCTTTTCATTGGGAAAAATGTCCTTTGCCAAATTGAAAAGTTTAAATGCTTCTTCCAGATCCCCATTCTTAGTTGCTTCTTTGGCCTCCTTCACATATCTGTTTTAAAAAGGTAAAAAAAAAAATATATATATATATACACACACACACACACACACACACACACATACACACAGATTAGAAAGGAAGGAAGCAGATTGAATATTCAATCAATAACACTTTAGAGTCCATTTTGGAATCCAAACTGCAGTTGGGCTTTTAATATCCTCAATTCAGGATGGGAAACATTAGCACAGAAGATGCCAATGAAAGCTGGCATCACTTAAGACACATACCCACCAGACATTGCCAACAACACCTTCAAGCACTATTTGTGAGAAATGTATGTATGTATGTTACTGGTTCCACAGTATTTCTTAAAATGCCACCCATAAGTATAGAGTGGTATTTTCTTGTAAAACAAACCAACCAACCAACCTATACCTATATCATGGGAGTGTGGAAACAGGAAAGATACATGGGCACTTTTCAGTTTTTATTTTTCTGGACCTCTGTGATACATTTGACACTAATCATTCCCTCCTTAAAATTCCCTCCTTCCACTGGATTCCTCTAGATTCCTCCTACATCACTGGCCATTTCTTCTGCTCTTCTTCCCATAGGGCTCAGTCCTGGGCCTTCTTCTCACTTCTTTTACTCTCTCCTCTGGCCTTCCACCCCCACCTAATGGGTTTATGAAATCATTCTCTCCATTCCAGGGCTTGCCCCCAAAGTCTAGTCTAGATCCACATTTTAATGGCCTTCTGGATGTCTCCACTTGAAAAAGTCTCACAGGCAACTTGAATTAATCCAAAATTAAACTCATTATTTCCCCTCCAAAAACATGTTTCTCCATTTATGTGGTAGTAAATGACATTACTATCAATTTAGCCATACAAGCTAGAAATCTGAAGATCATCCTTGACTCCAGTTCACATGAGGTCATCCTTGATATCCCCTCTTTTAATCACCCTCTCCCCTAGCCAGATAATCCCCAAGCCCTAGTAACTTTGTTTCCCAGGTATAACCTGTTTCTCTCCATCTCCACTACCACTACTGTGGTTCAAGTCACCATTACTTCTGGCCTGGGTAGTCACAACTTCTTACTCAATGGTCTTACATCCACTCTTAGCCCCTCTGATACATTCTCTACATAGCAGCCAGTGATACTGTCTTAAAATGTAAAATTTAAGAAAAAAATGTAAAAAAAAAAAAAGAAAAAATGTAAAAGAAATCATGTCACTCCTCTGCTTAAAATTCTTCAGGGGTTTATGGTCCAAAAGGATGCCAAAATAATTCACTGAGGAAAGAATAGTCTTTTCAACTATCATGTGCAAAAGAAAGAAATTGGTCCCCTCTCTCACAAAAATTAACTTTAAATGGATCAAAGAGGAACACCTGGGTGGCTCAGTGGTTGAGCATCTACCTTTGATTCAGATTGTGATCCTGGGGTCCTGGGATCAAATCCTGTTCAGGCTCCCCACAGGGAGCCTGCTTCTCCCTCTGCCTATGTCTCTGCCCCTCTCTCTGTGTCTCTCATGAATAAATAAAACCTTTTTTTTAGGGATCCCTGGGTGGCGCAGTGGTTTAGCGCCTGCCTTTGGCCCGGGGCGCGATCCTGGAGACCCGGGATCGAATCCCACGTCGGGCTCCTGGTGCATGGAGCCTACTTCTCCCTCTGCCTGTTTCTCTGCCTCTCTCTCTCTGTGACTATCATTAATAAATAAAAAAAATTTTTTTTAAAAAACCTTTTTTTAACATTTTTTTAAATTTTTATTTATTTATGATAGAGAGAGAGAGAGAGAGGCAGAGACATAGGCAGAGGGATAAGCAGGCTCCATGCACCGGGAGCCCAACGTGGGATTCAATCCCGGGTCTCCAGGATCACGCCCTGGGCCAAAGGCAGGCGCTAAACCACTGCGCCACCCAGGGATCCCTAAATAAAATCTTTTAAAAAATAAAATGGATCAAAGAACTAAACATAATTGCTAAGTCTTCAAAACCCTTCGAAGAAAATATCGGCATAAATCTTTGTTACCTTGGTTTTCGCAATGGTCTCTTAGATATGATGCCGAACACACAAGCAACCAAAGGAAAAATAAATTGGGTTTCACCAAAAAAAACCTTGTGTTTCAAAGTATACCATTAAAAAAGTGAAAAGACAACCCAAAGAATGGGAGAAAATATTTGTAAATCATGTATCTGATAAGTGATCTGTACCTAGAACATATAAAGAAATCTTACAACTCAAAAATTAAAAGACACCACATGGGCACCTGGGTGGCTTGGGTCAGTTAAGCACTCGATTCTTGATTTTGGCTCAGGTCATGATCTCAGGGTCATGAGATTGAGTCCCATGGTAAGTTCAGCAGGGAATCTGCTTAAGATTTTCTTTCTCCCTCTCTCTCTGCCCTTCCCCCTGCTCATGCACTCTTTGTCACCAAAATCAATCAATCTTTTAAAAAAGACAAATAACACAATTTAAACATGGGCAAAGGATCTGAATAGACATTTCTCCAAAGATGATCTGCAAATGGCTAATAAGCACATGAAATAATGCTCAACATCATTAGTCATCAGGGAAATGCAAACCACAACCACAATGAAATACCACCTTATGCCCATTAGAATGACTAGAATCAAAAAGCAAGAAAAAAAAAAGCACTGGCGACAATGTGGATAAATTAGAACTCTCATAACCCTATTGGTGGGAATGTAAAATGGTGCAGCTGCTTTGGAAATCAGTTTGTCAGTTCCTCAAAAAAGGTATATATGGGGGCAGCCTGGGTGGCTTAGCGGTTTGCGCCACCTTTGGCCCAAGGCATGATCCTGGAGACCAGGGATCGAGTCCCACATCGGGCTCCCTGCATGGAGCCTGCTTCTTCCTCTGCCTGTGTCTCTGCCTCTCTCTCTCTCATGAATAAATATTTTTTTTTTAAAAAAAGTTACACATGGAATTACGGTGTGATCCAGGAATTCTACTCTCAGGTACAGACTCAAGAGAAATGAAAATATTTGTCCGCAGAAAATCTTGTACATGAGTGTTCACAGCAGTATTATTCATAAGCCAAAAGGGGAAATAGGGCAGCCCAGGTGGCTCGGCGGTTTAGCGCCTGCCTTCGGCCCAGGGCCTGATCCTGAAGACCCAGGATCGAGTCCCACGTTGGGCTCCCTGCATGGGGCCTGCTTCTCCCTCTGCCTGTGTCTCTGCCTCTTTCTCTCTGTGTATCTCTCATGAATAAATAAATAAAATCTTAAAAAGGGGGAAATAACACAGATGTCCACCAACTGAGAAATGGATAAAAATGTGGTATGTGTGTTTTATCTCCATTCAATGGAATATTATGTAGCCATAAAAAGGAATGAAATATTCATGCTATAACATAAATGAACCTTGAAAAAATTTTGCTATATGAATAAGCCAGTCACAAAAGGATACATGTTTTATTATTCCATTTATATGAAATGACCAGAATAGGCAAATTCACAGAGAAAAAAAAAGTAGATTTGTGGTTGCCAGGGGCTGGGGAATTCTGGGACTTGGGGTAGTTGGTAATGGCTAAAGGGCAAGAAATTTCTTTTTGGGGTGATGAATGTACAACTCTGTGAATATACTAAAAATTAAACAGTACACTTTAAATGGATGAAATGCATGTACAGTATGCAAATTATACTTCCATAAGGCTATTAACAACAAAATATTCTTCAGCGGCTTCCTGTGGCCTACCTAATGGAGTTTAAGTTCCTTAGTCAGCCATTCCAAGCCCTCCCTGATACAACCAGGAACTGCTGACCTCTGCCTTAACTCCTGCCACTTCCAGCCTCAAACATTTTAACCCCTATGCCTATCATGCTACTTTGTATCCTCTATGGGGAGCTTGATGCAGGACTCAATCCTAGGACCCTAGGACCACAACCTAAGCCAAAGTTAGACGCTTAACCACTGAGCAACCCAGGCGTCCCTAACAATTACTTTTTTTTTAAAAAAAGGGTTTTCTTATTCATGAGAGACACACAGAGAGAGGCAGAGACACAGGCAGAGGGAGAAGCAGGCTCCACACAGGGACCCCGACGTGGGACCTGATCCCGGACTCCAGGATCACGCCCTGGGCCGAAGGCAGGCACCAAACCGCTGAGCCACCCAGGGATCCCCAACAAGTAACTGTAAAGAGGAAACAGTACCTCAGCCAGGTGATTACAGTCAACATCAACAATGATAGATCATGTTAACAGTATGTACGTCTCATAGGATTTGATGAGAAGGGCACTTTATCTCTGTAGTCTTTCCCCGCGAAACCAAAAACCCCAGTCTAGTCATGACAAATGGTGACAAATCCCAATTGAGGGAACATTCTACAAAATAACCTAACCAATACTCCTCAAAACTGTCAAGGTCATCAAAAACTAAGAAAGTCAGGGGCTCAGTAGTTCAGAGTCTGCCTTCAGCTCAGGTTATGATCCCGGGATCCTGGGATCAAGTCCCACATCAGGCTCCCTCTGCATATGTCTCTTCCTCCCTCTGTGTGTCTCTCATGAGTAAATTAATAAAATCTTTTTTTTAATAAAATCTTTTTAAAAAATAATAATGTATTGGTATGGGTTCATTGACTGTAAGCAATATACCACACTAATATAAGATGTTACCAACAGGGAAAACTAGGTATGGGGTATGTGGGAACCCTCTGCACTGTATCTAATATTTCTAAGTCTAAAACTACTATCAAATTAACTTTATTTATTTCTATTATTTATTTATTCATGAGAGACACAGAGAGAGAAACAGAGACATAGGCTGAGGGAGAAGCAGGCTCCCCGTGGGGAGCCCAACGCGGGTCCCAAGCCCAGGACCCCAGGATCATCACTTTACTGAAGGCAGACGCTCAACCACTGAGCCAGCCAGGCGTCCCAAAAAATTAACTTTGTTTAAAACCAGGGGTGCCTGGGTGGCTCAGTTGGTTAAGCCTCTGCCTTCAGCTCAGGTCATGACCCAAGGGTCCTTGGATCAAGCCCCACATTGGGCTCCCTGCTCAGTTGGAAGCCTGCTTCTCCCTCTGCCTGCC